CTTCGTAGATCCGGACCTGGTGCTAAGGTAATAACTCTATCTAAGCTCTACACCAAAGGTCAGAATACAGTGGTATACAAAACAACAAAGAGAAGGAACAAAATATAGTCTCAGGCCCCAAGTCTACCCAGTACAAATGCAGAAGACACCAGCATGGAGGAAACTGGAAATCACACACGTGGTATCTCTGAAATAATAGCGCTGCATGTAAAGAAACAACTGCACAAAGGTATAGAAGAAACCAGATCAGAGGGGCTGGGAAGATGGCTCAGTGGAATAAGTGCTTCCCTGGCAAGCACAAGGGCCTGAGTTCAATCCCCGGTTCCACAAAGAAAAGAAAAGAAACCAGATCAGAAATAATTGTAGTGATAACTATAATCAAAGAAGTACTAAGTGCTTCAAAAGAATATGCTGATAAAAAAATACAGCAGAATATAAAAATGATGGAACCCCTGAATAAGCAATACAGGAAAGAAACAGAATGTATGAAACAGATTCAAAGTGATATACAGGAAATTAAAACTTAAATCACAAGCTGGCAAAACCATTTGAGTGAAAGTGAAAATAGACTTTCTAACCTTAAAGACACCATTGCAGCTACTGAAAAAGAAAAGATCTCTTAAAAACAACTAGGATGCAGGAAAAAATAATTCAATACCTGCAAGATGATGCAAAGACGAACAATGTGAGACTAATAGGCATCAATGAGAAGGAAGGAGTCAATACAAATTATATAAAAAGAATATGGGCAGAAGTAATAGTAGAAAACTTCCCAAATATGGGGCAACAATCTGACATTCAAGGAACTGAAGCATATAGAACTCCAAAGAACATCAACCTAGTTAAAACCACACCCAGACATATAATAATCAAGATCCCAGAAATTCAGCACAGGAACAGTATACTAAAGGCTGCTAAAGAAAACAAACAGATCACATTTAAAGGAAAACCCATCAGAATAACGGCAGATTTCTCTTTACAAACCATCAAGTCAAGAAGAGCATGGAGCAAAGTACTTCAAAAGTCCTGCAAGAAAAATTCCAACCCAGACTGATATA